CAATTTATAGGTTTTTTTGGTGAAATCGGGAACTCAATAGTAAACTCTTAGAAAAAAAAAAGTTGTCAAAGAGATTAACCAATCATGTTTAGCTTGTTTTTTTGTTGCTTTTCAGATCCTAAAGACTGATGATTTAATTTTTTTTTTCTTTTTGTTTCAGTAAACATTCATCCTATCACTAAAGATGTTATCTTGAAAAAGATAGGGATTTCTGATTAGATATATTTATGCATGGTTTTTGTTAGATTTTAGTTTAGGAAAGTAAAAATTCTTTAGATATGGGTTATGATAATTTTGAGAAGAACTACGTTTATATTTTTTTAAGAAGATTTGTAAATATATTTTCAACTTTTTTTGGGGAATAGTTTTCTTACGGTGAAATAATTATTAGATGTTATTATTAGTTATTACGTAATAAAAAAATTATCACCCTTAATTAAAATATTTATGTTTAAAACTTATATTTATATTGTGTGTTCATACATTTGATATAAATTAATTATTATCAGTATCTAATAAAAAATATAAATTAAATTATATAGATGAATTTAATATTCTAAAGTTATTATTTTTCTCCAAATTAAATTTTTAATAACCTTTCCTAATTCAAGTTTTCAAAATTTTGACAGGTATTAATGATTTTGTTATGCATAATTGATTTGTACAAATAGCTTTGTATCTTATACATTTTAAAATTCAAGATATGACTAATATGTTTTATAATATAGTATAAGATATGCATATTTTATTTTTTAATTAACTATTGTTTTTTTTTCTAATACTCGAATATGATATAACTACACGAGGTCTTTATTTGTTGTTGCTTTCTGGAAACTATACCTCAAAAAGTTCATAGATATATGTAGATCCGAGTTTCATCATAGTAAGTATGCAAACACTATTTTTTAGTAAGATATGTGTATAAGATATGCATATTTTATTTTTTAATTAACTATTGTTTTTTTTCTAATACTCGAATATGATATAACTACACGAGGTCTTTATTTGTTGTTGCTTTCTGGAAACTATACCTCAAAAAGTTCATAGATATATGTAGATCCGAGTTTCATCATAGTAAGTATGCAAACACTATTTTTTAGTAAGATTTTTTTTTTTTTTTTTTTTTTTTTCCGAAGAGAAGATATGTTTATATGTTATTCTAAAAGAATTTCATACCTTTCTTATTATGTATATAAACAACTACTTAATTAATATAATAAAAGCACCTACTTGATTATCCATAGTAATCAAACTTGTAAAAATCAACATTTGTTTTTGCAGCATTAGTTTTTTTTAAACGACAAATTTTATTAGAAAAATAAAAAATTACCCAAGACTAGCAAGTAGCTATCGAGGGGACAAGATAAGTGACAAGGGAAAATGTTACTTAATTATCAAATTAAGAAGGGAGAAGATGACCACTCTTCCCGTGAACAAATACCACATTTACCCCTACATTTAACCCGCAAATACAAAATTATTTTGATTTTCTCTACACCATACGAGGGAGTGATGAACATCTGTTTGGATAACCGATCGTTACGATATTTCCATAGGTTCTAAAAGAGACTGTAACAGATGGTATAGAGTCGATCTTTCATTTTAGAATTTATCCTCCAATTTGCAGCAAATCCAATCATCAATGCTATTGAATGAATAATTAAGCCACATCAATTTGAAGATTTTATCCCTTATTGCTTTAGCAATGGACACTTCACCAAAATGTGGTCACATCTTCTTCCTCCAGGGGCGGATCCAGGGGGTCCACGGTGGTATCGGCAAAGCCTGATTTTTCTGGATACAGTGGAAATTTTTTTTGATAATTTTCAAAATTTTTATTGTTTCTATTATCGTTCAACCCATGATTTTTCTATGCAACCCCTACTATGAAATCTTACGTTCACTCCTGTCTTCCTCGTTAATGCAAGGACATCTTCTTCTTCGTTAATGCAAGAACCATAAATAATAGTTTGGGTGTCAAGAGGACACACATAATAGTTTGGGTGTCAATCATATTGTTCTAAGACCCACCATTGAAGTTATCTTCTGTTGAATTGCTCGCCATGAGGAACAATTGCTAAAGTAAATATAACAGTAAAGTACATGACATATTTTTTGGAAATGAAACTTCTCTAACGAGGGTTTCCAGGCAAGATTTCGTGCACCGACTAATCCCCTGCTGTAAACATTAGGTTTTGTCTCATGTCCTGGAGTCATTGCAGGCGAACTTCCATGGCCACAATGACTGATTTGAACATGGGTCAATAGGTAATTCACTATATGTTTCACATGTCTTACCAAGTGACCACAACTCAAGTGGTTAAAGTACATAATATAATAGACTATATAATTATATAATGATGATTACTTAATATATGATAAAGTAAACAGTAAAAATAATCATAACCTATAGTCAGATAAACTAAATAGAGTAATTAATGGGTTGTCACTTTTCAAATGTTTTCAAATGAATAAAATAATAACCGTTTATTTTTATGTTTATTTACGTATAGGTTTTTTTGTTTCAAATCCGTATTTTTTTTCTTGATAATATTATCAAGACTAGTTGTGTGAACCATATATTACATGGGTTATTAAAAATAAAGTTAAATATGAAGTTCCACATAATTGAGAACAGTGAATTTATAAGAAAATAAGAAAAATATTAAAATATTAAAATTGAAATATTTTTTATCTTCTAAATTTAAACAAATAATTTAAATAAATAAACAAAAGAAACTAATAAACTTTAATTTACAATTTTTGAAATTGGAAGGTAAGCTCATTAATGAAATTGATATCCATTTATTACTATATTTATTGTAACTATTACATTAAAATATTATATAGAATTTAATAAAATAGAAAAACCTATAAAATGATATGTGGAAAAAAAATCAATTCAAAATTACCACAAATTGAAATTTGTCAAATTGAAGGAGAGCATGCCATGTGGCAAACAAATTTATTTATTAGGGAGGATTAGGTAAAAAAATATAAGTATTTAATAATTTAATTATTTTGTTAGCCTAAATTAATAATTTATTAGCTTTTTACAAATTGGGATGAATTATATTATTAAATTAAAAATCCCGTATACTAATGTATCCTTTTTATTTGTGATTATGTATTATAGTTACCATGTATTAAATAAGTAACATAATAATGTGAAAGATATGGTACCATTACTAAGCAATGTTTTTATTTTTAAATATAAGAATCATAAATTTTCAATGCTTGCTAAGGGCATCCACAATGTATTGAACTCCATAGAGTTCAATGGATCGCTACATTATTTTTCTACATTCCATACAACCCAATCAATTTTTTTCTACAATGCATTGAACTCTACAAAGTTTAATAGAAAGTTACAAAAGCTAATTTATAGTATGTATTTAAGATTAGAAAACTTTCCTTTTTCCCATTGAAGAGTTCAATAACCATTGAGCTTCAAATCCATTGAATTCCATGGTGGCATTTCATTATGGTAGAGTTTCAGCCAATGAATGACAACTAAACTTGCCATCTCATTCAACCCTCCCATTGAACTCACTATTGTGGATGCTCTAAGTAAAATTAAAGTGCTATTTGTATTTTAACATATATTTTATGAAATACATTAAATATATTTAATGTATTTGTAATCAAAATAGAAATTCTATCTTTAGCATTGGAAAGTAATAAACCAACACATATTTTAGAAACTGAATAAATTAAGTTTACATGGATATTAATACTATACTACAGGTGACAAAAACATTATGTAAAATTGAGTTAGAAAATGTTACCATAGATGTTGCTCTTTCATTGATGGAAAATTTATCGAAGATGTGTTCATAGGAAAATGATAAATGTAAGCATGTTATGTGTTTTTCCCATTCTCCTTCCATTTAAGTAAACAAGACAAATCTTTGAAACATTAAATCGATAGATTGAAACACTAAATATGTTCAAATAAAAGAAGTTAGAACTGTGAAAAAAGTAAAAGTAAAAAACATGGAGTAGCAGTTTGATAGAAGAAGTTAGAAATGTGGAAAAGAAAAAGTAAAAAGCATGGAGTAGTAGTTTGGGAGACGAAAGGGTGAAATTTAAAATAAGTTTAGTAATGTAAGTCACATTGAAAAGGAAGTTGAGTGAGATTGTGGAGTATGTATTATTAATAAAAGAAATGAAAAGCTAAAAATAAGTATTAACCGACTCAACTAATTAGTGACTTTCACATTACAAAACAGGTGAACCAAAATTTTCTTTTACAGGTCAACCCTAATATTAGCAGTTTAATTTTCATGTTATGTCATGTTAACCTGTTAAATAAAATGTATTAAAATATCTAATTCAAACTGGTTTATTTTTGTATTGTATCAAACACCTTACATCAAGCTGCGACACATAGAAGGTGGATAATTATTTTATGATATAGTAAAACCCTCTGATGGACGGATAGTCTGATACACACGTTGGGTCCAATTATAAAACCCAAATCAAGGGTAGGCCCAATTATTTAACCTAGTTGTGGAGCCCAAAAAAGCAAGAAATAAACCACTGCTTAATATACCGACACAAACAAGCAAAGCATAATATTCACACAAAGTAAATAGGACTCAGATTCGCTAATGATTGGACTGAAGCTTGAAAACTCAGTATTTTGCTTTAGGAGAAAGGGAAAATGACTTATTAAGGTAACTAACTATTTCTATTGTCCATATATAGTAATGTTCTTTTTTTTTTTGTACTCATTAATGAAACCAACTTGTTTTGTATGTTCACATTTAGGTAATATGACTGACTATCACCTGTTTTCACCTGTTTTACCCAATTGCATTAATTTACCTCAGTTAAAGTGAAATATGTAGATTCTTATGTGGCGATTACACCCCTTTCTCATTTAATTAGGGTTCTACAAGTTTAATTTCACCAAAATCAAATCCCGATTAGAATCGATTCATGAAATTGAAGATTAGAGTTTAGAGTTGAAGCTATGTGTTGAAGTCGACTGTAATATGGTATCCCAATCATCTACAAGTAAGTATTTAACTGAGGTGTTCATTACAATGTACTAATTGCCTCAAATCCCTTGAAATACTTAGACCCCAAAAAAATAAAAGTGTGTGATGGCGATTTTGGAGGATTTACGTATAAAGAGTTTCTTTTTTGCCTTAGGAATTTAACCAAAGGAAGTTATGATAATGTGTACTACTGTAGTAGAAAGGAAACATTGGGTGAAAGTATTATAAGAATCGACAGTGATGCTGATTACTGGGAGTTTGTTAAAGCTACTTGTACTCCTGAAGTTGAGTTGGATGTCTACAATGACCACCAAAAGAACCAATCCTTGACTGGTCTTACAATGAGGTGCTATCAGATGGTAACAGGTATGACTTGGATGACAACGAAGAAAAGGATGACAAGGAAGAAGAGGATGACAATGATAAAGATGATAATTTGGATGATATTATGACACATGAACATGAAGTTGATGAAGAAGTTCATACCTTTAACAAAACTATTGGTGATGATTTTTTAAACAAACTTTCAGTTATTGGTAAGCTTAGTGATGATGATAAACCAAATGATGGAAAAGATGATAAGGTGGTTTTCCCTGTCCATGATGAGAAACAAGAATGGTATAAGATGGTGCCAATTATAGGTATGAATTTTGCTAACCCAATGTAATTGAAGCTATGTCTAACCAATTATGGAGTGAAGAATGAGTATGATTTATGGTATGAAAAAAGTGAACATAACAGGTCACTGGTGAAATGTTGTAAATGTAAGAAGAATAAAGGTTGCCCCTTTTGGTTTGTTCAACCTGGATAAGCAATGAAAGGTCATTCCAGATTAAATCTTTAACTGATAATCATAATTGCTCAAGAGTCTTCAAATTTGGGTCCATTGTTAGCTATAAATAGATAGGGAATCATTTCATGAATGATATACTCTAGAAACCAAAGATTGGTGTGTAGAAATTGAAGGCTAAAGTTAGCAAGACATTTAGTTTGATTGTAAGTGTGGGACAATGTAGAAATGCTAGGAGGTATGCATTTAAGGAGATAGAGGGTACTTTAAAGGAACACTATGCTAAAACTTGGAGCTATGGAGAAGAGCTAAGAAGGAATAACCATGGATCACTGATGAAGATGGATGTAGATGTCATGCCTGATGGAATCACTTACTTCTCAAAGTTCTATGTATGTTTAAAGGTTGTGAAGCATGGATGGATTAAAGGTTGTAGGAGTGTAATTGGACTAGATGGTTGCTTCTTAAAAGGCATTTGCAGAGGTTAGTTGCTTGTTGTTATAGGTAGGGATGCAAACAACCATATCTATCCTCTTGTTTGGGATGTTGTTGCAATGGAAAGTAAGGAAACATGAAAGTGGTTTGTTAACCTTCTCCTTGATGACATTGGAACGAAAAATAGGCATGCATGGACATTAATATCAGCCTAACACAAAGTAATGATTTTATCTGCTCTCTTTGTTTAATACTTAATTAATTTATATGAAGCTTATGTTATGTTTGTAATCCTAACAGGGATTACTTGAGGCTATCAAGGAAAGGGTGCCTACAACAACATAGACAATATGTCAAGCACATATGTGCTAACTTCATGAAAAAATTTAAGGGTTAACAGTTAAGTATACTTTTATGGTATGTTGCTGCTTTTACTACCCATGCTAAATTTGAGCATCATATGAATGAAATCTAGAAGCTAGAACCACTTGACTATGATCATCTGATGGAGAGGGACCCTAAAACTTGGAGTAAATCATTCTTTCAGACTGATAAGGCATGTGATGCATATGAAAATGGTGTATCTGAGAGTTTTAACTCAATCATTGATGCTGCCACGAAGAGACCTCTAATCACTATGTTAGAGGAAATTAGTATTTATGTGATGTAGAGACTTTATAGACAGGAAAGTAAGGGAAGTTCTTGGGGAGACTTAAACATATGTCCTGCCATTACACCGAAATTGTCCAAGATTAAGGAACTTCAAAGGTTAGTGGTTGAAAACCTTATATATATATATATATATATATATATATATATATATATATATATATATATATATACACATGTGTGTGTGTCATTCAATTGTTTATACTTATATATATATATATGTGTGTGTGTGGGGGGGGGGGGCAGATTTTGGAGAGTTGTACCATCTGGTTATCAATAGTTTGAAGTGAGGCTTTTATAGGATTCATATGTTGTAGACCTTGGTAAGAAGACATGTGGATGTAGAGCTTGGAAATTAATGGGTTACCCTTGTGTGCATGCATATGCTGCCATTTCAAATCTCAATAAGGATCTAGAGGACTATGTATCACCATGGTTGACCACAACAATGTTTTGTAATGCCTACATGTACACCATTAAGCCACTAAATGGTAGTAATATGTGGCCTGATGTAGATTACATCAAGCCATTACCTCCCAAACAGAGAAGGATGCCAGGAATACCATCAACAAAAAGGAAAAGGGGTCAGATTTAGGGCGAACTAAAGGGCAATAAGCATACAGTTTCAAAAGGGGTATTGTCATGAGATGTATCATATGTAGGGAAACACGGCACAATAAAGCTAAATGTCCTAAAAAACCAAATGAGGAATCATCAAATCCAAAGTAGAAAAAAAAAACCCAAAAAAGAAGGTTTCTGTTCTCCTTTACCTTTTGATTACAATATAATAGTTTTTAATGCTAACATTTAAATTATTGCATAACAGGTAAAGTGAAGATTGAATTGGTTCAAGAAGTTAATGTGGAAATTAATATTGATAGTGAAGTTCAAATGGAACTCGATAGTGAGGTAGATTCTTATGAAGTTGATTTTAAAGATGATAATCAGAGATATGAAGATGTAGACCAAACTGAGGTTGAAGTTGAAGTTCAAGGGCAGGGTCACAGTTTAGTTGGAGGGGTTGAAGAACAAGTTAAAGTTGAATTTCAAGGACAAGGTGAAGGTCAAGAAGGTGAAGACCATGTTGCAATTGTAGATCAAGTTGAAGCATAGATTGTACTTGAAGTTTAAGGATATGGTGGAGGTCAAGAAGGTGAAGAACATGTTGCAATTCAAGATCCAATTGGACTAGATGATCAAGGACAGGTTGAAGTTCAAGATCCAGTAGAAGAGGATCTTATGCAAGAAGTACCAGTATTTCAAGTTCTACAGGGAAAGAGAAGAAGGAAACCTTCACAAAGAATCACAAAATTTTGATTAAGAAAGAAGTGGGAGGTGAATTAGGGGAGCAGTGGTGAAAATCCGTTTGAGTTGGAATAGAATTTGGTACTTTGTTATTTTTTGGTATCTTTGACTGGGAATTTTGTGTCTAGTCATATGTGTAACTTTTGGACATGTGTCTACTCATATGTCTAAGTTTTGGAATCTTGCCTGGACCTTTTGGTAGGGGTGAGCATAGGCGGGTACCCGCCTCATTTAGCGAGAACCAGAACCGGCGGTTCCTAGAAAGTTAGAATCGGAACCGGAACCCTTCAGGCGGTTCTTAAATTTTTGGAACCAGTACCGAAACCGGCGGTTTCAATTCCGGGAGCGGGTAACCCGGTTACATTAACTTTATTAAATTTTTTCGATAAAACCGCAACTTAGTTCGATCCAAACTGAATCAATTCAGACCAAAGAGGGACAAAATCGGACCAATATATTCTAAATCGGTCTAAATAATACACACATAATTATATGAAATACTAATATATATATATATATATATATATATATATATATATATATATATATATATATATATATATATATATATATATAAACTGCTTTCGGCGGGTAGCGGTTCCAAAAAAATAAGAATTGGAACCGGAACCACTTAAGGCAGTTCCATAACTTTAGGAACCAGAATCGGAACCGCTTAAGGCAGTTCCAGTTCCAGAACCGGCAGTTCCGAGGCGGTTCCGGTTCCAAAAGCGAGTACTCGGTGCCGATGCTCATCCCTACCTTTTGGCAGTAATGCATGTGTAACTATTTTAGGATTAACTTATGACACATCTTTTGTAAACAATGTTTACTAGGAGTCCAATGTTTGATTATATTAGATTCCAATGTTTCATTATATTACATTCCAATGTTTGATTATATTGCATTCTAATACAGAATATTCATTCAAAACATCATAAGCAAAAACAGTTAAAACAAGTTTGTTACATTAATTAACTACATAATCATAAACAAAAATAGGTGGACTACATCATTCTAATACCAATCAAGTTTCCTTCATGAACAACATCATTCAACTCTAATACATCATGAACTACATTCAAATCAACATTTTCACATACAATACAAATAACAAAATCAATGCAACTTTGTGAGTAAACAACCTCCACTTGACTTTGTCTAATTCTTGTCTATTAACCAAATTGGTGTTGTTTTCTTGTTCAATCTTCATCCAACATATGTTGATTTCATTCTCTAAAGTGCAAAATCTCAAGGTTAGATTGCAACTTTCTTCTGGTTTCCTCATGTAAGGTTTTCTTCCATCTGTCCTCCCTTCATCCTCATCCAGCCATTGGTAGAATTTACAACTTGGACCTTTTCCATTCGTGAAGAAAAATTAATTTTTTTTGTTAAATGGAAGGATGAAGAAGAAGAAAGGGTATTCAACAAGATGATGTAGAATAAGTTGCAACATATTCAACAATATTGATTTACCATCGATTTTTGACAAACTCTAAATTTTCTTCCAGTGTTGTCAGGGGTTCTTGAAGTCTTCATACGAGATGGTAAGTCGCAATAACATTGATGATCAACTTGAAATTCATCTTGTCATTTTGAAGAATAAAATGAGAAAGAAGAAGCCATCATTGATCTAGGGTTCAAAATCGAGGGTGTAATCGCATGACACACTTCTTATACTGTACAGCACAATGCCACGTAGGTGCAACGTATTCAAGTCATATGACAGGGGGATGCCACATAAGCAAAAACAGGTGATAGCCGGTCATATTACCAAAATGTGAACATACAAAGCAAGTTGGTTTTGTTAATGAGTACAAAAAAAAAACAAAAAAAAAACATAACCTATATATGGAAAATCAAAATAGTTAGTTAACTTAATAAGTCATTTTCCTTAGGGGGGAATGTTGAAAAGGGTGTTACATTTGTACTTGAGGCCAATTGCCAAAGTATACAAAAGCTATACTTGATTTTCTTTAGGCCAATAAAACCATGAACCATCTATGATTTTATTTTGTGTTTGCATTTTAATCGCCAAAATTTTCTGGTTTTTAGGTGACTCATTAGCAAGTTAACAATTAATAGACTTGGCATTTTCCGATAATGTGGATGCTGAGGTGGCAAATGGTTAAGTAAAACATAAAAATTGTTAGCTTACGATATAATGTTTATTTATGGTTGTTTTTTTGAATGAAAAATACAAATATATACTAAACTACTCGTAAGTTATTTCACCTATGTCCACAGTGGGACTTGAACCCTCGACTTCAATAAGGGAGAGCAACACTGTATACCACTAGACTAGAAGTCCTTTACGATTATTGATATTTTAAAACTAATTCAATGTAGAAGAGTAGATACAAATATTAAACTAAACAACCCACTATATTCTTATTTTATAATTATATTGATCGGGTTAAAATGTGAATTTAAAAAATATTAGAAAAAATCGAGCAAGAGAGGATATTCGATCTTTTTGAAAATTTATGGTTAAGTTAACTAGAATATATAGTTGATTAATTTTAAATAATTAGAGTAATAAAAATGATTTTATATTTTTTTGACAAAATAAAACCGAAAAGTCTAGTTGTTTTTTCAAGTCGTTAAAATCTAGCTCCAGGGTGGAGATACCAAGGAACATTAAATTTTAAGGGTTTTCTATTGAAATGTAAATATTGCTTTCAAACTAGGGAAGATGACCATGCTTCGTATGGGTCAGAAGGAATTTTGTTTTTTGTTTTATTGTATGAATGGAATGTAGTTATATATGAAAGTTGACTGCATTTAAGGATAAATATTAAATAGGTTTGTACATATGCAAAAGATGTGAAACACATACATAATATTCAAAACAGGAATATTTTCAGACTATTTTCAGACTGCAAGTATACACAATGTTTGGAGCCTTAATACAGATGGTATTTACATACTTCAAGGGCATTTTCGACTTTTAAAATATATCTTGCTAAAAAAGGGTAAAATAGTTATCTTAAATCTATAATCCGTCATTGTGGAGATTGTTATGTACAAAGAACCCACATTGCGTGGAAGCAAAAGAACATCTACCTATCAATCTATAATTTAAATTAACAACGTCATTCAATACATCAATTTTGTTGCCAGATGTTAGTAATCCCTCTCTACAAAAGTAGAATGTTGGAATCAATGATTCTAGAGGTAATTGGATATACCTGCCCAAACCTATTTTCTCCAACCAAATTAGCTGATATAACCTACAAAAAGTCAAAAAAATACATTACATTTTCGTTCTCTTCCGTTGTTTTTGCATTCAAAGCACCCGATCTGAATTAAAAAATTATTAACAAAATTTCGTGCTAATTCTTTTGCAGTTCAATAAATTTCACCTTGTAGACAACAAAACATACATTAAATTTGGTATTAAAGTAAAAAGATCAAAGGATTGTCGGAATTTGGAAGTTAAATATTAGAAATATAGAAAGACCAACATGACTCGACATGGGAAGCACATAAAATTAAAATTTATGTGTTAATTGCAAAAAAAAAAAAAGATTAAATTTCGAAGTATAACGCCCTAAACCTAAATATATAAAAAAACTACAATGCCATAATTGGGTAATTATCAAAGATCAATGCACTAATATGAAAAAAATGAAGGTGAAATGTTGTAATAGAAAGAAATAAAAGTATTATGCTATAATACAGAAATCAATAAAAGTCTGTTGTTATTTCTTGTGTTTAGACCAATGATAATTGCATAAATTGTATCATTTATTGAGCTTCAGATAAAGTCTTACAGAATTTTTGACATCTTCAAATCGAATAGTGTATCCAACTTCCTCCCCAAGTTTGACTCCCACTCCCTCTGCCAATCTTGCAACAACACTCAGAAAACATGAGATCGATTCAAACTTGTCATTAGATGCAATTTTAGTGCAAAATTAGCGAAAATGAGAGTAAAGTATTTGCATCAAAAAGGTATTATATGATAACAGTGAACATTAACCAAAAACAACATTGATAATAAGTATCTGCATAGCCAACCATCTTGGTTGAGTGTAAGCAATAATTTGACCACGAACAACCATCCTGCTTCCTTATGGCACTGTAACATTATATAAAATGCTTCAAACTACATAAAACCTTTGTTAAGTAAAGGTATGAAAGAAAAATTACTTATGGAATAAAAATATAAAAGGTGGAAGATGGAGGAGATGTTAACAGTGTATTACCTTGTAGCCATTGTTGTTGCGTGAACCAAGAGATTATTGTGAAGCTTTGGAAATCTTACCATTTCTTCAAATTTTTGTAACAATAATCACACCAATTCAAACTCATTTCACCTTACAATAAAGATGATTTATCATTAACAAAGTGGCAAGAAGGTGTGTGGCATGTGACCGGGTTTCCATCAATTGAAAAGAAACCTCCAAAAATCCTATTCAATTTAATGGAGAGACAACGAAACGAAGAACCAAAAACTTGGAAACGAACAAAAAAAAGAACAGGGGCTGGAAATAAACACAAACCTCTTACAATGTACACCAGATAATCGTTGTTGCATTTTCCTGGATGAACAAAGGTGCAGGAGTGATGGTGGGGATGGCCGTCGGAATTGGTAAAGAAGATGCAAGCTATAGCACCGACAAATGAACATACGAACCCTGATTCAGTAAAGATAATTCATAATTGGTATCGATATTGAAAAGAGGATGAGAAATAAAAATAGAACGAAGTAAGAAGTACCTTGGTCCTAGGTTAGCAAATGGAAGCATATGGTGGAAACCACCAACAGAGGAATCTCCATAGCGAGCTGCGGAGCTTGTAGTGGTGATCGTCTAGCATTTCTAGAGATGAAGCAGTTTGTTTCTAGGGCTTTGACGGTAAGGCGGTGCCTTCATGATAACAAAGAGGTAAGCCAAAGGAAGTCATGTGATAACTCCCTCCGACCAGCGTTGTTTATGGAGCAGGAGGGAAGATAAGGTGAGAAATGATCTAGAAGTATACCAGATAGGAAGATGAGATGGAAGTGGGTG